TGGGCAACACTGCCTTCCTGCCATACCTCTATTGTAAATAATTGAGTTAATTAGGCAGGAGGCTACCCTTTGACTGCCCTGTTGACAAGGGCCAAATGTACATGCTCTGACCACCCCTATGTGTCCCAAGCCTTGAAGATGTTGCCAGCAGCTGTGCTAAGCTCTGGCCTGAGGCCAGGCCCAACTCGTCACAGCATTGAGTCTCATTCACTCTGCCCTGCTAGGGCCACACTTTTATACTACCTCCCTCTCAAAGGCCTCTCACCCTCCACTGGCTCTCACCCAGTCTTTCATTCCACCCTTCCTGGGCCTCACTTGTACCGCCCCTTCTCTCACAGGGATTACAATCACCCTGCACTCACCCAGAGGGTCCTCAGACTTGCTACTCTTCACTCCCTGGCCAGCAAGCGCACAGCCTTTTGGGCATCTCCCACTATCCTCATGTGAGCAAGCTCTGGGCAGTTCACCACATGCTGTGCTGACTCTGCCCCCATCACATTGGTTGGTAACTCCCCCATCAAGGGGCTCTCCACCAAGGGGCTGGTGGCTTGCCCGTTTTCCTCGCAGCTTCTCTGCCACCCTCCAACTGGCCTCTGGCCCCCAAAGACTTACCTGGACCTAACTCAGGCCCCCCATGCTAGCAGGGCCTCTGCTCAAGCCCCTGCTCACAGGCCCCAACTCATGCCCCTCGCTCACAGGGGTTCACAGCTGCCGTCCCCGTGCAGCCCTTCAGGTGCACTTCTGCAATGCCACCTGCACTGAGGCATCTACTTTGCCGTGTGCCCTGGGGTCGAACACCCCCCTCATCAGCATGCCTGGCCCACAGCTTGCCCCCTCTCTCAGGGACTGAACTGCTTCTCTTACAGGGTCTTCCATCCCTTCAGGCTCAGGCGCTTCTCAAAGCAAACTTGGCCTCCACTACTCCCCTTTGGGATCTTGCACCCCAGCGAGCACAGGTGTCCCCTATGGATGTCCCTGACCCCACTACTGTCTCCGATGTAGTCACTGTGACCCGCTGAGTGCCCTAACCCACCATACACCAGGGAGGTCCTTGATCCTGGAATTTGCTGGCCCTGCTACAGGCAGGACCACCAGGCCTCCCTATCTCAGGTGCAGTTTTAGGTTGTGCCCAGGACCACTAAGGCCTCCTCCTTCCCCATAGCTTCACCCTTACCTCCAAGCTGTTCTCAGAGCCTGGGGCACTCCACTTGATATCGGCTGCCAACTAGACATTGAGCTATTGATTGCTACCCTCTGAGCTCAATAATCCAGCCAGTTTTCTATCTGCTTTACCAATCTCTGCTTCCTTAATTTGCTTGCGAGAATATTGTGGGAGACTGTATCAAATGCCTTACTAAAGTCAAGGTATATCATGCCCGCTGCTCTCCCTGCATCCACAGAGCTAATCATCTCATAGATGGCAATCAGGTTGGTCAGGCACGACTTGCCCTTGGTAAATCCATGCTGACTGTTCCTAATCACCTTCTCTTCCAAGTGGTTAGAAATGGATTACTTGCAGATCTGCTCCCTGATTTTTCCAGGGACTGAGGTGAGGGAGATGGGTCTGTAATTACCTGGATCTTCCTTCTTCCCTTTCTTAAAGATGGGCGCTATATTTGCCCTTTTCCAATTGTCTGGGACCTTCCCCAATCAACAGGAGTTTTCAAAGATAATGGCCAGTGGCTCTGCAATCACATTGTCCAGCTTCCTCAACACCATTGGGTGCACCCTGTGTAGCCCCATGGACTTGTACACATCCAGCTTTTCTAAATAGTCCCTAACCTGTTCTTTTGCCATTGTTGGCTGCTCATCTTCTCCCCAAACTGCTGCCAGGTGCAGTAGTCTGGGAGCTGAACCTGCCTGCTCAGACTAAGGTGAAAAAGGATTGAGCACTCCAGGCATTTCTCCACCTTCTGTCATTAAGTTGCCTCCCCCATTTAGTAATGAACCCATACTTTTCCTGATCTTCCTCTTGTTGCTGACATACTTGTCGAAACCCTTTTTATCCTTCATGTCCCTTGCTAGCTGCAACTCCAGTTGTGCTTTGGCCTTCCTGATTTCATCCCTGCATGCCTGAGCAATGCTCTTATACTCCTCCATAGTTTTGTCCAGGTTTCCACTTTTTGTAAGCTTTCTTTTTGTATTTTAGCTCACTGGAATTCCCTGCTAAGCCAAGCTGGCCTTCTGCCATACTTGCTAGTCTTCCTGCGCATTGGGATAGTTTGTTCCTGCACCCTCAATAACATTTGCTCTGCACCTTCACAACATGATGAGTAGCTCTGCTTAGTGAAATGTCATGTCCCAGCTTTCTTCCTCTTTACAAATGAGGTAGATGCCTCAGGTATCTAAGCTTGTGCTTTCTTCTGTTTTCTTTGCAGGTGGCTTTTGGCACAGCAGCCTGATAGACAGAAATCTCATTGATTTCTTTATCCCCTTCCTACTTCTGAAGTATAAACATGTGAAAATGTGTGTCAGGGTGGAAATGGAAACACGTGGTTACCCTGTGGATGAAGACATTGTAAGCAGAGTAGCTGATTAAATGACCTACTTCCCCGAGAAGGAAAAAATGTGTTCTCAAAAAGGATGCAAAACTATACACAACGCTGATTTTGATTAGAAATAGTAATGTTTTATGATGTTATAATCTGCAAAGCAGCAAATGAACTTAATAAGAAGGTCAGGAAAAAGCAAAACTTTTTATTATTTTTCAAGCACTTTTTTTTTTTTTAAGAAAAGAGAGCAATACCATTTTTAATTGTCTGTCTGATTTAAATAAGTGGCAATACACTTTCATTTTTATTCCAGGGGAAACTTTCAGTAGCTACAGCTCCTAAAAAGACTTTGTGCAAGAATCCACAAAGAGGGAAGAATTGTACTTTCGCAAAAAATAAGAATTAATAAGAAACAGAGCTCCATTACGATCATGTAACGCCCCATACTATACACTACTTCCTTTGGGTAGCACCTTGCATTTAGGGAGCACACTTCTTCCTTTGTCCTCAGTGTGCCATACATTCATTTATTAGTTAAAATGTAGTCAACAATAAGCTCTGCTCCTGGCTCTGTGCCACTGAGTGACTGTAGAGCCTTAGACTATAGGCCTGTGCTGTTCAGTTAGGAAAGAAGTGTCTATGGAGAAGTTGCCCCTTATGGATCATTGTTTAACATATGATTATTCTCAGATTGGGTGTTGATTGTTAGTTGTGCAGTAGAACACTGGCGCACGTGCTATGCCGGTTTTCTCCATGTTGTTGTTTGATGTGGAAATGATCTTGGTATTGTATGGCATATTTTAAACAGAACTCTTGTGTCTTCAGGACCCTTCCTCAGTGGTGTAGTTGGGAATATCGTCAGACCTGCTTTGAATGGTGAATACCTGGGGGGGCAGTTTCCTTAGACTACAGACATCTTTGGTGCATTCAGCTCTGTTGGAACCAATAGGTGAGAGAACCTGGTATAAGACATCTGGTCCTTATCACGTGGTTTTATGCAGTGCCACTATGAACGAATCCTTTGGTGCCAAATAGCATTAACAGTGTGAGGAGTCCAGCTTGCTAGGGGAGTATTTTTCAACAATGCTGAGGAAAAAAAAACACACCCTAAAGCAAAATCTGTGACAGTGTCCCTGCAATGGAGGAGGTAGCCTTTACTTTTAGCTGTTTTGATGTGTAAAGTTGGATACTCAGTTTGTTCTCATGCTAGTGTTTCTCATGCTTAGTGGGAATGATGTAAAAGATTGTTGGGTAAAATCCACTGAGGCTTCTTGTTCAGATGGTTTCAGTCACAGGCACTGGGAACTGACCACACATCTTAAGTCTTTATTGGGTGGTTGGCATAAGGGACAGTTTGCTTTACTCACCAACTTTTATAAATCAGTCCTGTTTAATACATTTGTGATCTATCCTTGCTTTTCCCCCAAACATTATATCAGGCACTGCTGTTAAGGAACAGATGAAGATAAAACACTACCTTGAAAAAGAATTATGTACCATAAGGATTCAGCTAAAGTTGTTATAAGATATCTGCCAGTCATATTTATACATTTAAGCACTACTGACACTTTTTACTCTGATTTCTAAACAAGATTTGTATTTTGTCAATAAAAGTTTTTAATCAAAAAATGCTTATCGGCTACCTTTCCAGTATGCGTGGATATGAATTGCGGACTGACTTAATGCTTCATTCTAGGCAAGTTTCCTGCCTAATAAGGAAGGACAGCTTACTTTTGCTGCTTTCTGCCTGAAACATAATTGTGCCCGAATACAAATCTCTGGTTTCTGGGATTCTCAGGGGGTTGGTGCTGGAGACAGACCATGCTTTTTTCTCACTGCTGAAAATAACTGTTGAGAGCCTGAGGCTGCATGGTTTTTTAAATTGGACCCGAATTAGTTTTGCAGAACTGTCTCACTATTTTGGAGGAAGAAAATGGAGCAGCGAGACTTGTGCTTTTCCAGTTTGTTCTTGTTCAAGGTGGATAACTTACTAGCTTCAATCCGTTCATTCTCGGAGCATTTCCTCTTACCCCGGCACATTTTGTGTAACTCAGAATTTCTGAAATCCTTGCTCCAGGCCGGCTCAAACAAACGACGGGGACCGTCCACAACACGACTGTGCTGGCTGCTGGTTTTCCGTGGCTGTGGGAGTCATCTCTGCACCTTTGCAGCCTGCGTTTTGTTTGCTTGGACTGATGGGGGTGGGGGGGAGGAATGTTCCCAACTACTGGACTCGTTTCTGGTGTGCTGCCCTCAGATGACGCGGGTTGGGTAGTGCCTGGCTCCCTGTGCAGGGGTGGTGTGTGTGCAAGTACAACAACTGCATCTGAAGGAACAGGGCAGCTTCTCCTTGTCTTGTCCAGCTGCAGCTGCAGCTGCAGGGCCTGGGTCACGTGGCTCGCCCCGCCCGCTCCAAGATGGCCGCCCGCGCGCTCTGCCCCAAACCAAAATGGCGGCACCGGAAGCGGCGGAAGCGGAAGCGTCTGTGAGGGGCTCGGGGCAGGGGCCCGGCGAGCCCGGGGATGAGGCGGCTGTGGGGCGCGGCGGGGGCTGCCCTGGGGCTGGCGCTGCTGCTGCTGAGCCCCGCGCGCGCCGTGGAGCCCGTCAGCCTGGGGCTGGCGCTGGCCGGGGCCGCCTCGGCGCTCACGGGCTACATCTCCTACCGGCCCCTCTACTGCCTCTTTGCTGAGTGCTGCGGGTCGCGCCCGGGTCGGCACTTCGGAGCAGGTGCGGGGTGAGGGGCGCTGGCCTGTGAAGAGAGGGGGTGGGGGGCTGGCCTGTGGTGGGAAGGCATCCTGTTCGGGAGGCTGCCTCGTGAGAGGGGTTGGGGCGCCCCGTGAGGGTTGCTGGGGGCAGGCTGGCAGGGCGCAGCAGCCTGGGGCAGGGCTGGCCCTGGTGTGTGTAGCGGGCAGGCCGAGCCTGGGGCTGCCGAGTGCAGGCGGATGGGTGTGGGCCCCAGAACCGTCTGCAAGGGCAGGGTGTGCATGTGCATCCCAAGCCCTAGGCTCCTGTGAAGCGGGGTGGAGGTATCATTGGTATGAGGGCAGTGCCATCCCTAGGATCAGCCCATCCCATGCAGGGTTTAGTCTCCGCAGGCCACATCTCTGCATTAGGGAGGCAGGTTGCTTCTCTTCTAGCCAGCCCAGCCCTTACCTTGAAGGAGCGAAGCGGGTTCCTCAGGTCTGCATTTGGAAAGGGCTCCTGCTTCCCGAGTTCTGACTTTAAACCTGCCGTCTCCCTTTTTTGTGTGCCCTGGCTGGTGTGTTTGTCGCAGCCCTGCAGCAGGATTTGGAGAAGAGGCTGTTCGGCCAGCACCTCGCGCAGAAGGTGATTGTCAAAGCCGTGACCGGCTTCCTGAGCAATGCGAACCCCAAAAAGCCTCTCACCCTCTCGATGCATGGCTGGACGGGCACAGGCAAGAACTACGCCAGTAAAATCATTGTAGAGAACATTTACAAGTCAGGCTTGAACAGCAAATACGTCCATCAGTTTGTGTCCACTTTGCATTTTCCACACGCAAGTCTCATCAGGCAGTATACGGTAAGGACACGTTGTGGAGCTGGTCACACTTGAGGATTGATTGTGTGGGACAGCCCTATTGTCCCTTTCTGAAGGGTGTAGAACCAGCGGTTCCCAGTCTGTGGTACATGTATCACCAGGGCTCCGCAGACCACCTGTCAGTGATTTGTGCTAACAGCTTTATTATAATTCCTTTATATGACAAAAATTTGCTGGTGGTACTTAAGGTTGTATTGTTTTAAATTGGTGGTGTGCAGTCTGTCAGTGTTTGGGAACCACTGGTGTAGAAGATGGTGTTTATGCACCTTTTTAACATCCCTCTTGAGAGGGAAAGTATGAGACCTTTCATTTTCCCTGTTGTATATTTTGGTCCAACAGTTTGGTTGACTTGATGATAACTGGGATTCTGGATACAATTGGGTATAACACTCGGATATAATGCTGATAGGTGCTGTAGAAAACCTTGAGAGAGATTGAAACAGCTATCGTGACCAAAGCCGGGAAGTTGGGAGACGGGTTTAATTTCCAACTGTAAAGTAGGGGTAGTACCTCACAAGGAGTGTTACAGCCCAATTATACAAAGATCATGAAGTGCTCGGGTGAGCCAGTAATAGGGTCATAAAACTACCTGAGACAGAGAGACTGTGCGCAAGAAATGGCATTTCTCTGAGTTCTTGTTCTGACTTTGCCACTGACTTTTTTGGACAATTCACCCTCCTTTCTTCCTGTGAATTATGGTTGATCCTTTTCCACCTGTTCAGTAGTTGGCAAATATTTATATTATATCCTGAACGCATAGACGTGGGGTGGGCAAAATATGGCCTGTGAGCCAGATTTGGCCCATCAGCTGTTTGGATCCAGCCCAGAGGTGGGCCCCCACCAGTTGACTGTATCTGGCCTGTAGCTGTCTCTGCATTGCTCTGCTTGGGGTCTGAGTCCTGCCTGCACTTGCTGAAAGTCCTGGCCCTGGCCAGTGCGCACAGCTTCCTGGAGGGACTGCTGCTGCTGCAGCTGCCTGGGTACTGCTCATCATGTTCTCCTTCCCCGGCTGTGCCAGCAGGTAGTACAGGGCAGTGACGGCAGCTGTGAGGACGTGAGCCTGGCACCATGTGCCCAGCCAGGCAGGGTGTTGGTGGGGGAAGCTGCAGCCAGGTGGCTCTGCCCTAGTGCTTGGGGCTCCAGCTTCCAGCTGCCTTTCATGCACTCCGCCCATCTGGTGCAATAAACAGCTACCTGCGGATAACTGACTGGGTGGAAGGCGGTGAGAAAACCTAAGTGTTCTTATGTGATGTAAGAAAACACTTGAGTAAGATTAGCCACTTTTCTGAACAAAATCACACATTTTCAAATGTTTTAAATTCCCTCCAATTAGATTATGTGCTAGTGGTTAAAGGATAAAACCAGACATCATGAATTCTAGATTTTGTTCCCATCTAAGGCTGTACAGTCGGTCACTGGCATAGCTAGGAACAGAGCTTCTTGTTGACTGCATTTGAGCTAGTAAGTGGATGTATGGTACTTTGAGGTCAAAGGATGAAGTGTGCTATGTAAATGCAAAGTGTCATCCAAAGGAAGTAGCATGTTGTATAGGGCATCACTTGGTCCTATTAGATCTCTGTTTCTTATTAATTGTCATTTTTTGGCTAATGTACAGTTCTGTCCTCTTTGATGCTTGCACAAAATCTTTTCCTAAGAGCAGATTATTTCTGGCAGCTCATTTTCTGAGTTCTTAAGGTTATTTGAAGAACCCTCAGCAAATCTCTTGTGGTATTATTTCATCATTATCATAGAATCATAGAAGTAGGGTCAGAAGGGACCTTGCAGATCTTCAAGTCCAACCCCCTGCCTGGGCAGGAGAAAAAACTGAGCTCAAATGATCCCAGCTAGGTAGGCATCAATCCTCTTCTTAAAGACCCCCAGGGTAGGAGCCAGCACCACTTCCCTTGGAAGTTGGTTATTTATTGCTCCGATACAAATTTCAGTGAAGAAGTCCAAGCTATGCTGGATGACAATTTGATGTTAGATCTTTTATACAAAAGACGGGGATCTAAAGTCATCGCATGCTCTGTGTGCTATGTTCAGTATGATCTTGTGCACGTGGAGCTTACATCCTTGTATCTTTGTGTACCGTAGGATGACCTGCAATCCTGGATTCGGGGAAACGTGAGCGACTGCGCCAGGTCAATTTTTATATTTGATGAAATGGATAAAATGCATGCAGGACTCATAGACTCCATTAAACCATTCTTAGATTATTACGAGCAACTTGATGGGGTGTCTTATCGACAAGCCATCTTCATCTTTCTCAGGTAAGGAATGGCCTTGAATCGCTTACAGTGCTAAGACTTGGGGACCCGTGAAATAGTATCCAGCTCATAAACTTTTTCTCCTTAACATAGCAATGCAGGGGCAGAAAAGATAACAGAAGTGGCACTGGATTACTGGAGAAATGGAAAGAAAAGGGAAGACATAGGCCTCAAAGAACTGAATGATGTGGTCTCTCTGTCTGTTTTCAATAATAAGAATAGTGAGTAATATTATTAACCATGGGTTTGTAAATCCTTGTGTTTGGATTGGTGGTTCTGCATCCATGTCTGGTAATCACACTGATTTTTCTGCATTTCCTTTCTGGAATATACTTGAGAATCAAATGCTTCTGTTGGAGTGGTCTCCAGTGGGATTTATAGGATTCCCATGAAACTTCAGTGTTTCACGTGCTTTGAATCTTCAGCAGACTGCTTGAATCTTTTTAGCAGAATGCTCTGCAATGCGCGTGCTGCCCATAGCACTGAGCTGCTGTCTTTGAGAGAGGTTGCTGTGCACCTTCACAACATGATGAGTAGCTCTACTTAGTGAAATGTCATGCCCCAGCCTTATTCCTCTTTAGAAATGAGTTGGATGCCTCAGCTACTTAAGATAATGCTTTCTATGAATCACTGCCTAAGAAAATACCCTTCTTCTATTTTCTTTGCAGGTGGCTTTTGGCACAGCAGCCTGATAGACAGAAATCTCATTGACTTCTTTGTCCCTTTCCTACCTCTGGAGTATAAGCATGTGAAAATGTGTGTCAGGGTGGAACTTGAATCACGTGGCTACGTTGTGGATGAAGACATTGTAAACGAAGTAGCTGATGAAATGACCTACTTCCCCAAGGAGGAAAAAATTTATTGTCACAAAGGATGCAAAACTGTATACACAAAGCTGGATTATTATTATGATTTGTAGTGTTTTATGATGCTGCAATCTGCAAAGGAACAAATGAACTTAATCAGAAGCTGTGGAAAAACCAAAATGCTTTATTATTTTTCAAGCCTTTTTTTTTTTTTTTAAAGGGTACATTACCATTTTTTAATTGTCTGTCTGAGGTACTTAAGTGGCAGTGGACCGGCATTTTTATTCTGGGGGAAACTTTCAGTAGCCACAGCTCCAAAAGATTTCAGGCCTGTGCTGGTCAGTTCAGAAAGAACTGTCTATGGAGAGGTTGCCCATCCCTTATGGATCATTGTTTAAAAATGCTTATGATTTTTCTCAAATCAGGTATTGATTGTTAGTCGTGCAGTAGAACACTGGCTCATGTGCAATGCGTATTTTCACCAAGTTATCATTCAATGTGGAAATGATCTTGAGATTGTACAGCAATTTTTAAACAGAGCTCTCATGTCTTCCTCGGAGGATGCTTCCTCAGAGTTCTGGTTGGACATATTCCCAGACCTGCTTTGAAAGGTGGGTATGTAGTTATTTTTCCTTAAACAAAAACACCTTTGGTGCATTCAGCTCTGTTGGAACCAATAGGTGACGTCCTTATGCTTTGATTTTATGCAGTGCCAGTATGAACATCTCCTTTGGTGCCAAACAGCGTTAGCGGTGTGGGAAGTCCAACCTGGTAGGGGAATATTTTTAAACAACGCTGAGTTAACAAAACAAAACAACTAAAGCAAAATCCATGACAATGTCCCTGTAATGGAGGTACTATCTTTTTTTAGCTGTTTTGACCTGTGAATTTGGGTACTCCATTTGTGCTCATGCTGGTGCTTTTTCATCTTTCTTGGAATGATGTTAAAGGGTTGTTGGCTAAAATCCAATGACGCTTCTTGTTTGGATTGTTGGCTTCATAGTCACAACCACCAGAAATGGAAATCAAACCTGCTTTGTATGTTTCTGCTCTTTCCTTGCTTTCCCCGCAAACATTATAAAGCACCTGCTATTGAGGAACAGATGAAGGCAGCTTCAAAAGCTTCTGGGAACATGTTTAATTACTATAAGGATTCAGCTAAAGGCCCTATCAAACATCTGCCAGCCCTATTTATAAACATCAGTACTGCTGACCTTTTTCACTCTGATTTTTAAATAAGACTTGTAATTGGTCAATAAACCTTCTCTTACCAGAAAATGCTTATTGGCTACTCTTCCAGTATGGGTGAATATGCTTAATGGACTGATTTAATCCTTAACTCTGGGCACATTTGTTGCCTAATGAGGAAAGCTTACAATGGCTGCTTTTTGCTTGAAACATAGTTGTGCATGGATACAAATATCTGGTTCTTGGATACTCAGGGGGTTGGTGCTGGAGATGGACCATGCTTTTTCTCATTACTGAAAATGACTTTTGGAAGCCTAAACTTGCAAGGTTTTTAAAATTGGAACAAATTTAAGTTTTTCAGAATTGTCTCACTGTATTTTTGGGGAAGAAAAACTGAGCAGCGAGACTTGTGTCTTTCCTGTTTGTTCCTGTTAAAGTTGGATAACTTGCTAACTTCAATCTGTTAGTTCATTCTCAGAGCTTTTTCTTCTTACCCTGGCATATTTTGTATAACGCAGAGTTTCTGAAATTCTAGCTCAGGCTGGCTAGAACAAAGTATAAGAACTGTCCAGAACACAGCTTTGCTGGCTGCTGTTTCTCTGAGGCTGTAACAAACTATGGTGAGTCATCTTTGCACCCTGCATTTGTTTGCTTGGACTGATGGGGAGGAGTATTTAAACTAGTGCTCCGTTGAGATGACTTTGACTGACTCCTGCCTGGCTTCCTATACAGGGTTTGTGTGTGTGAAAGCACGCCGACTGAATTTAGGATATATTTGAAAGGGCAGTGCTTTTTATGTACAGAGACACTTGTATTGTAAAGTGCTTAATCTATAGCAGCCTGTAGCAATATTTGCATTAGTGTGGACAAGCCCCATTGTGGACATGAGATGCAGTTTTAAACACTAGGTCTTGGCTGTGTCCAAATGCATGTATGCAGAGGGCTCAAGCTTGGAGGTATACTTACCTCAACACCACAAAAAATTAAGCAATGGTCATAAGTGAGGCTGTAACACAGAGGCCTGTTACTTTGCCTCACTTCCCTTCAGCAATGTCAGGAAGAAGTAGTAGGAAAAAGGAGGCAGCATGAACAGGTTTATGATGCTCATGCCAGCTGTTAGGAGACACTCCATTCCCCCCCACCCTTTTCAGTATAGAAGCAGTTAAGCTGCAGATCACTGCTGGTACATCACAGACCAGTTCTGCTGTTCTGAAAGTTCTTCAGTCTGTTCTCACCTCTTCACATGTAACCATCCACCCCACCAAAGCAATACTCAGCTGCTCCATATGCATGGAGGGGGGCAACGCCTTGTATTACTACATAGAAACTGTTGTGCATTTAAGTTAGCAAAGCCCAGCGTTGCAACAGTTCTTCAGCATAATCAGTGGAGCCATCTTGGATATCTGTCATCAAACCTGGTGAAAGAGAGGTTGTGTCAGGATTTTCTCTTCCACCACGAAGGACTTCTCAGGAGGCAGCATGGGAAGGAATCCAATCAGTGTCACAGGTGTTTGTTCCTACAACTTGTTCTATCTGAGAACACATTCACTGAAGTGCTGTTTAAGAGTCTGCCCCTTGAGCATGTTATATCAAGAATGGGCAGCTCCATCATACTTTCTAATAAAAACGGCAGTTCAGCACAAGAAGGAGACAAAACAGAAGATACTTAAGTATAAGTAGCTGTAAAATAACTTTCAGTTGCTTGGAAGTACCGTTTAAAAATCAATACCGACTAAAAAGAGGGATAGAAGATTTACTGCATCTATGACGTTCTGATGACACTGGCATTTTAAAATTGCACAAGTACTTTTACATTCAAAGACATCTGCAGGAGATGCTTCATCTGGAACATTATTCAGGAACATCCGAATAAGGAACAGTTACTGCTGCAGGCAAAACATTACACATCAAAAGCAACAGTCCAATGTCCCAAGGTTAAGAGCTACAGTTCGTTTTAGCTAGTTGCAGAGTAAACAGTGTCCTATCGTAACAAATGGCATAAAGTGTAATTCAGTGTCAAGAGGTTAACCTGGACAGTTAAGCTCTTTGGCTGGTTATTTTGTATTAAAGGCAGCCAGTACTGGGACATTAAGATATTGTACACGCTTGTTCTTAAAAGTGTGGATCCATTATATGAGGAGGAAGTTAATTCAGCAGCTATATAATAATCCACTCCCTCGCATAAGTCTCCGTTGTATTGTAACCAAGCTACAAAGAGTTCTCCCAATGGCAAGTATGTCCTGTCCATTGACACAGGCATTTCGATCTCACATCGCAGCACTGGTCTTTGTGTGTGTGGTGGGGGAGAAGAAAGAAGTTTACAATCATATCTAACTTAACAAAGGACTTAAACGCCACCCTTACTAGGTAGCTGAAAGGTAATCCTCTTCCAGCTTCTTACCTTCAGCTTTCCATTTCACCTTGCCTCTGCAGACAAGATGTTTCGAGCTGACCACAGCATACAGCCTCTTGCTTAGAAAATTAATGGTAACATAAGAAAAATCTACTTAAAAAAATACAACACCATGTGGGAAGATTGCTCTTTGACCATATGTCTCATCCTCTCTTCCCCCATGATTCTATAGAAATGAACTTTATCACTGAAGTGTAAGCACAAGAAGTACAAAGTACAAAACAGTATAAAAATACACTCTTAAAAATAATTTCTACTATGAAGTAACCTTCAAGCAGGGGGGAAGAGGCGTTGTCTTCCCATAGCTGCATCATGTGGGTTTAATTCAAACAATGGCTATGGCTTTGCTGTTTACATGAACAGAATCTGACCTGACCGGTTGTAACAGTCAAGTGTTTATGAATTTTCCTACCAAAAGAGAGTTATTGGCCTGAGATGCTGTAACAGTCAAATCCTTTGGAACAGTTCCCCCTATTGAAAGACTCAATCCTGTTGGCCACTGAGGAAAAAATCTCCTAGGTTTCTTTACATTCAGACTAAATATGAAGGGAATTTTTTTGGATACAGACAGACAAATGATTCATTTCTTCTCTTTCCCACCACCCAGTAACAGATCTCCCTGAGCTCACCATGACTCCAACATTGCCATAGCAAGAGACAACACTTGTGTCAGAAATTCTGGAGAGAAAATGACCTCCCTCCCCATGAAGCACAAAATGACCAGCCCCTTGCATACTGCAAGGAGTCCTCCTAGCAGAGCAGCCTTTGGACTAGCAAAGTATCAAGGTATTTACCCTGGCATGGGCTACAGGCACTTTGACTCTTGCTGAAGTTAGGGCTAAAACGTTTTTCTGATTTCACTAGGAATCAAGCACTTCACAGACTAGACAAAGATTATAAGGTACCTAGACAGACTTCATTCTACATTAGAGAGAGTTGGGGGAAAGAGATGAGGAGGTAAGAATTTCATCTCTTGAAATATAATGCAGGGAAGGTCATATGCAACAACATATGCTAGTCTCTAGAAATCTTTGAGCGTATCAGAAAAGGCAACTCCCAAATACCTGCCAGGGTAGGCAGGAGCACTGCAGCTTTAAATAGAAAGAGATCTGCATGGTTATCATCTAGAAGTCCTCCCACATGCCTCCAATTGTTAAAAAGTGTTTAGTGCAAAAACAAATTGCAAAAAACCTCTAAAAAGTGCTTTGGCGAGGCAAAGGGGCATCAAGTTCATTGGTCCGCTTCCTTTGATGTTTCAGTAAAAATCCAGTTTGGCCTGCACTGTCTTACAGCCTTTATCAGAGTAGATTCTCTCTCCTTTCGGGAAGAAGGTCATCTCATCAGCCACTTTCTTAACAACTTCCTCATCAATTGCATTCCCACGGGACTGGATTTCTGCCCTGATGCACATCTTCACATGTCTGTACTCCAAAGGCAGGAACGGGACAAAGTAATCAATGAGATTTTTGTCGATCAGGCCGCTGTGCCAGAAGCCACCTAGGAAACAGCAGGCAGGGGATAAGTGAAGCTCCTTTGTGCGCTATACAGCGATGTCTCTGTCACTTTTCTGGGCAGGAGAGTTTAAGGAACTGAAATGTGAATCCAGTTCATGGACCACATCCCCCCACTGCTTTCAGACACACTGAGCTTACATACCTGTCTATACCACTAGGTGCATTGATTCAAATCTGTCCACTATAATGGTGCTAGCTAGTACCAAGTATAGAGCAAGAACAGTTTGAACCTTGGGCAGTCTGCCAGTGCACTTCAAGCCTGACTTGCAGTACTTTCTAGCCCAGCTGTACATCTTCAATTTTACTGAACTATTAAGTGGGTAGGTGGGCAACTCAGGCAATGGCGGGAACTGCCTACATGCTTTTTGTTTGGAACCTAGGCCAGGTTATAAAGAGATCAGTTTGAAAAGATGAATGGATTGTGAATGTTTCCCAGGGCCCAGAAACTTAAAGCTTGTGTCTAGGGAGAAACAGCCACTTTACTTTGTAAGGGCCTGACCCTGGGAAATGCTAAACAATAAGCATATGCAGGAATCAGGTGCTGGGCAAAGCCCGCTCCTGGAGCCAGGTGAGAGCGCTTGCATCATGGGATCCAGCAACCTTTAGAGGCAAGATGGAGCAGCAGACATTAAAAACCTCACGTGGAACAATAACTCCCTACAGTTACAAAGGCAGAAACCATACCCTTCAAGGGAAAGTAACTCACTATTCTTATTATTGAAGACTCCCAGAGACAATACTTGTTCCAGGTCTTTCAGGAGTATCTGCTCCCTGTCTTTTCCATTTCTCCAGAAGTCTAAAGCCACTTTGGTAATGAGGTCACCACCTGCGTTGCTGTTCATAAAAGGAACAAACAGTTTACAACAGATCAAGCCTGGAGGAAACCAACATTCTCTCTCTAGCAGAATTACCTTTATCTGCATAAGGTTTTCCATGTTGCCACAACAAAAAGCCTCAAACCAATGCAGAAGCTTTCAGGGACTTCCCATTCTTTCAACTTAGGCTGGTTCCACCTAAGTCGTAACAAAATCATCTTGAACCATCCAAGGGTTGTGAAACCGTCTCTTCACCCTCTGGTAGTAAAGCTCAATACCAATGCAACACTCCCAGCATAGGAAATAAGGGACTGAACTCAGGATCTGAGTTCTGATCCTCCATGTAACAGGGTGTCTGTTCTCACTGGACTACCACCATGGCTCACTTTAAGGTAGTAAGTGCTGTGAACTGCAGGGCCTAATACAAACAACTTATGGACATGCTTTTGTAGTTCAGGAGGAAGGATTTGGGCTCCTGGACCAGGAAGACCTGGGCGCTTTCTCTCTCTCTTGAAGCTGGTAATTCTGACTGACCAAGACACACCTCAGCATGACAGTGAAGTTCACAGGAGAGCATGGATTTCCTGCAGTACCTTAGAGTTACTGAAAAAAGGCTACAAACCTAAGGAAGATGAAGATGGCCTTCCGGTAAGACACGCCATCAATCTGGTCATAGTAGTCTAAGAAAGGCTTGATGGCATCAATGAGGCCAGGGTGCAATTTATCCATTTCATCAAATATGAAAACAGAGCTGGCACAGGCACTCACATTGCCCCGAATCCACTTCTGTAATTGGTCCTGGGGCACAAAAGAAGGGTACAGCGGAAAATCAGGTCTTGCGGTTGGAGGGTGTACAAGTTACACATGTACATACATGAAAATCAGTATGGAGGGAGGCATCACTTGAGCTATATTTAGCAAGTATCCAGAAGCCAGAATATGAATCTCACCCCTATTATTTGATGATGTTCACCATACAGCATTTTCTTTCTGTTAAACGGTCAAAACTTGAATATCAGCACTCCAATGGAAAGGTTGGGAGAAGAACCCAAGCATGGGACGAGAAAATATTTCTTCTTGTTTAAAAGAAAAAGAGAACCAGTCTGTGGGAAATTACGTTTTTAAGTGTTAAAGTTGATGGGCCTACGTTTGTTCCTTAAACCTGTGATCTCATGAAAACTTGCTGGGAAGAGAATTATTTTATAAATCTGGAAATAACCACCCCTGGCCTTTGGCTTGTTTAGCATTAACTAGGGTAATTTATTTTGTAACAGCAAATGCTATAAAAATGGAGGTGGGGCAGCAGTGTGAAGGCAGGAGACAAACAGGAGGAGGAAGCAATTTCAGCTCTTATTACAGGTCATTAACAAAGTGTCCCTTTCACTTTCCTTTTCTTGGAACTTAACTCAGTGCCTTTTGGTTTTCATTCAGCTGTAGCAACACAAGAGGCATCATGTTTAGCCTCTACCTCAGGGGCGGGCAATTATTTTGGGCAGAGGGCCGCTTACTGAGTTTTGGCAAGCCATCCAGGGCTGCATGACAGGCAGCTCAGGACAGATAAATATTAATTTTCTAAAATTTTTAGGGGCCCCGTGGGCCAGATAGAATGGCCCCCGGGCCGCATTTTGCCCACCCCTACTCTACCTCCACCAGCCTGAATGTTTAATGTCGCCCAGAGACACTGGCTACTGACAAGAGTGCGTTATTTCAGTTCTTGAGACACCCGAGTAATCCCATGGTCCAAAGTTTTAATTTTACTGCCATGACCAAGGGGAATTTGCTTTTACCTTGTACTGAGTAACATTCTGGTCATGCGGGAAGTGTAGTGTGGATACAAATAGATGCACAAACTTGCTCTTCAGTCCTTGTTTGTGGATGTTCTCAGCAATAATCTGGCTGACGTAGTTCTTCCCCGTGCCTGCCCAGCCGTGCAGGGAGAGAGCAAGTGGCTTCTTGGGATTGGTGTTGTTCTTGAACCCAACCACTGCCTTCAGGATCACTTCTTTGGCAAGGTGTTGCCCATAGAGTTTCGTATCCAGAACCTCCTTCAGGGCTGAGAGGCGAACAAGGATGCCAGAAAACAGTTTGCGAACAGAGCATCAGTTTTCATCTCTCTGCCTTGTATCTTTAACACATGAGGAAATGTTACAGGGGGCTTGGGAACAGCTCCAGGAAAGATCCCAGCCATAGCAATACCTTCACACTTATATCTAGGAGGCTCTTTATGAACACGGACCCGGCCCACCGGAAGCACGGCAGGTGAAGCACACCCTTCTCCCCATTTTATAGATAGGGAGCCTGAGGCCAGGAGCTCGGTGCTTTCCAAAACGCAGCTGCCAACTGGGAACAGGACCCCCCCAGTCAGCCCCCCGCCCACTGCTCTCACCACTGCGCGCTCCTGCCTTCTCCCCTAGGAAGGTCCCAAGCAGCCCCCACCCCGGGCTGCCCGGCCTCTGTACCGGTGGCGTTGGGCCGGTCCGCGTCGCGGGGGCAGCACTCCACGAAGCCGCAGTAGAAGCGGGGGTAGGAGAGGTAGCCCGTGAGTGCCGAGGCGGCCCCGATAGCGATGCCCAGGCTGATGGGCTCCAGCGCGGCCGCGCCCCGCAGCACCAGCACCAGCACCAGCAGCTCCCCCCGCTGCGGCATGACTGCCCGTGCCCCGACTGCCCGCCGCGAACTACAACTCCCAGCAGCCCCCGGGGCGGGCACTTCCGCCCGCCGCCATCTTGTGTGCGTGTGCGCCGGAGGGAGGGGGTAGATTCCCATACGGAGGGAAGGGGAAGTCTCGTGACACCCGCTCGCTCCCCGCACCTGCCATCTTGGTGAGGGGCACGCAGGCCGTTTGCTGTACCCAGGCCCTCGCCTGTCTGTCCCCATCCAACAGCCCCTCTTCCCCGTCTGTCACAGCACCCTTCCCTTATAGTTTCGGGGGTACATCGCGACGTCTCCCTCACGACACAACCACACCGCAGTTGCACGTGGATATGGCGTCACTGCCTCATGATGCAGCGGAGGACGTTACAGAATGAGGTCATCACGTTATGATGCAATACACGAACGCAAGGCGGGAAGACCGTGGCGGTGGGAAGCATCCCAAGCCTCGGTCTCCCCTGCGATGAGTTGGACATGTCCTTCCCTTTATCCCCGGGCGGTGGGGTCACGGTGGCAGCGGCAAGGCGCGTCTTACTCTGCAAGGCCGAAGAACTCAAATCTCAGCGCTGATGCCTTTCCCGACTTTGAAGTGGGCTGAACGCTGCTTCGCCCTTTGGTTAGGGGAACACCGGGAGAGGGACATGTCAATGGCGGCAGCGGGCTGCCACCGGTCAAAGGTGAAGCTTTACAGACGGTTGCATCAGAGTAACAACTGAGAAACCCATAGGGTCAATACAAACCTCTGCTCAACGACCTTAAATTTTACAACCAGGTAGGGGAATACTACACTAAAAACAACCTGACAGGAAGTTTTATGGGAACATTTCATCCCTCCCAAGCGTAGCTGTGTAAGAATGACCGCGATGTGTTGTAATGGTCTGTGCAGGTAAACAGGTCGGTGCTGCTAGAAGACCAGAGGAAAGGGAGTTGTAATAAGCACAGCTGAGCAAGCAGGGAAGTCTGGATGAGGACTTCAGAAGTGGAGTCAAGTACCAGTGCACCAAGGCCCTACACCCCGTTCCCCCACCGCTTGTTTAAGAGCTCCGGGGCTCATTCTCATCTCATGTAACCACATGCAAGCCTTTGCAATCAGCTTGAAGCCTCTGTTTCAATTAACTATAATCTTGCCTTGGCGCAATTCAGAGGGAACTCCACTGAAATCAGTAGACTGACACCATTGTAAAAGCAGCGTGAAAGAGGAAAATCCGCCCTTTTATTTGTTTCCCTTTACTAAGAGAGTTTTACTTTGTAGTTTTGCTTCCTTAGCTTTTATTTTGTGCAAGTTTTAACTGGCACCGAGTGCAGCATGTAGCATTGGTTCTGCATTTTTTTGTGATTATATGTTTCCCTTAGTTTAACTAGTCATTACGTAACTTCTGTTGCCCCCTCTTCTTCCCAGTTCTCTTAATGTCCTGGTTTATGAAAAACTAGATGCTGACAGAAATCTCTGTGTAATTTAACTCATGTAAATGTATTTTTAGTTGCAGTTAAACATGGTCCAATTGTACTGGCAACCAGTGCTTTGCAGGGTAAAAGAACCTGATTTCTAGAAGGTATCAGACTGCTTTTTATCCACCTTCCTGCCCACCCCAACAGCACTCTTCATTGGATTCTTAAAAGGACTTTTATAAAATGTTAGAAAGAGTTCACTTTGGGGGTGGGAGGTGCGTGTGCTTGTGTAATGGCTTCCAATACCTCTTTTCTTGGAGTAGATAACTTATCACTGTTAGGTGTGTGAGGCTGTGGTTAGTAACGGATATACAAGAACATAGCTGGTATTTTTAAAGAGAAGCATTAGGAGCTCTTTTGTGAGGAATCTGTTCTAACTCATTCTTGCTGTGATTTCAATCTATTGAGGTTCCTAGCTTTTCAGAGCACCATACTAGGCTTTATCTCCTCTGTCTTGTTCTCTAGAAAATCTTTTTTCCATATTGTAGGTTTTGAACTCAAGTGCACACAATTGTCACTTAGTGGTGAGGGAAAAGACAGGCAAACACACCAGACTCAGTAGTTCTGTTTAATGGATCATTTTTCCTTTTGCCTCAATCATAACCCTCCAAAACATGTTAGGCTGAGCTCCCCCCACCCCGGGGTGGATGCAGGGGGGTGCAGTGGTGCAGTTGCACCCCTCTGTGAGTTTGCTTCACCCAAAGTTTAAAATCAGCTGCCTGGCAGCAGCAGCATTGCTAGTCAGGCAGTGCTGAGGGAGTCCACTGACTTAATGGCTCATTGTATCCCTTCTAAATATTTTATTCCACAGCTATTAATGATGGTTGTGATGGTCCACCAGGCAGGCTAGTCTTTGTTCTGCAATGCTGTTGTCTGTGAGCTGCTCCTTGTAAAAATGCTCGTATTTTCAGCTCTGCAGATTGAGTTGGAACGAGTTACAAACATACTTGTTTTTACTTTGGTTTTAAATGGAATAGTACAGCCCCTATCACAGGTCCCTATCTTATGAGTAAAACGTCTTTATTTTTAAATAGAGAAAAATGTATGTAGTTTTTATATGGGATAATGCACCTCACCGTCTACACCCACCTTTTCAGAGTTCTAGATCCACCCATGAGCTCACCTGTCTGTCCTGAGCCAGCTCCTGCTGCTCTCTGTAGAGGAAGGTTATTAGCCAAGAAGCAGCTTGCCAAGAAATGAAAGAGAGAGTTAAAAATATAGATCACCTTTATTTTTATTCACATACAGCAGCATCTACTAACGTAGGAAAAGGATCTTCTTGATCTACAAGAAGAAGTTCACTTGGGGCTCTCAATATGTTAAGGAATATTTCCCTGCCCCAAAGAATTCAGTTTGAGAAGTTAGTCAGGGAAGGAGAAAGGGCCCAGCTTTCATTTCCTCTTTATTTGTGTGCACTCAGACCTTCTAGATGTTCAGGTTCACCTTTGAGGCCACTGTCTTGCAGCCTTTGCTGGAGTAGAGTCTTTCATTGCTGGGATAGTCAGCCATCGCTAAGGCAATCTCTGTGATGAGGTCCTCATCTTCATGGTGGCCCTGAAAGCGCAGCTCCACCCGGACGCACTCCCGAACGTGTGTATATTCCAGAGGAAGGAATGGAACAAAATAGTCCACCACGTTCCTTTGGATCAGCTTGCTCTGCCAAAAGCCACCTGGGACGGGGAGAGAGAGGAAGAGAGATCTGGGCAAGTGCTTTGCTCTCTTGCACTGACTGCCATCTAAGGATGTGAAGGCCCTGACCAGATACTCGTTTATTCATCTCAGAAGATTTCCCATGGCGTGCTCTAAAACAACAATGAAAACCCTGCTGTAGGACTATGTAGCTGGGTCCACCTTAGTTCTTTGCAGGTCCACCTTAGTTTTGGGTCCACCTTAGTTCTTTGCACCCTGCATTTTACAGAGAACAATGCCCACAGGGTCCCATGCAGCTCTGAAAATACTCACTATTCCTGTTATTGAAAACCTCCTGGGAGATCCAAGACTGCAGGTCCTTCAGGGGAATTTCTTCTCTTCCTTTCTGCTGCCTCCAGTAGTCCAGAGCCACCTCTGTTATCATATCCCCTCCTGCATTGCTGTCAGAAGAGAAATTCCCTCAAGCATTAGAATGACCCCCAGCAGAGCCCTTTTCCAGGAAGAGCACAATGAGCTAGATACTGCTCCCTTAATCTGTGCATGAAGGGGACCTTCAGTATATGGGTATCCTGGATATCCCCACCAAAACCACCCTCACTTTTGTACAGAGTCCCCTCTGCAGACAGCTAATTGAATGAATGGAGCTGGAGAAATAGATTCACTGAACAGTGCTTAAGTTGATGTGTCCATTGGGCTTGGGAGCCATCTGGCTGTTCATTGCTTAGGCTGAGAGAAGAGAGCCACTTGAGCCTCAGGATAATTTTAGTTGTTGCCTAGTCCTTTTTCTGCCTATGCCATGGCTGATCTCAAGTGTTCTGAGTGATATGATGACTAGACAGGCTCATTTACCACATACTGGGTAGTCCCTTCATGGTATCCAAAGAGAACATGGATACTAAAGTATTTGAACCTGCACAAGCAAACTGCAGTGTACTGAAGGCATACTAGTACAAGCTCTTCCCTTTTCCTTGGCTGATTCTGAAGGACTGCAATTATTTGGTGTCCACTGGATTTCCTTACTTCAGGAAGAGGAATATGGCCTTGCCATAATAGACGCCATCAATCTCCCCATGGTGACTGAGGTATGGTAGGATGGAGTCAATCAGCCCATGTGGCATCTGGTCCATTTCAGAGAAAATGAAGAGTGATCTTGGGCAGGCACTGACATTGCCTCGAATCCAGTTCTGCAGCTGCTCCTGTGGGGATGGATGGTATCACCTGTGAGCAGGCACCAACCTGGTAGCTAGATCTATTTCCACAGGGGATTTCATTAGTGCTTGAATTTGGAGGGGCTGTTAATGTTATGGCAGTGCTATAGGAGCCTAAAGTCATATGTTAGGACTTTCCACTGGTTTCAGTGGAAGCAAGGTCGGACCACATGGTGCATCCATGTGGGGAACACTTGGGTGGATTTAGATTCCATGAGATGTTACACACTAACCCTTCTTAGTCATTGGGAGTTAGCTTGAATAGGTCTGCAAAAGGGAATACTAAACTAAACCGACCAATGCTGTGATGTAATGCAACAAGTTCTGTGTCCCTAAAACTGTGGCCTAGAGATTCCTTGACCCGCACACTGCTAAAAGGATATAATCAAATTATGTAGCCCAAACTAGTTCCAGATGTGATTCATTTTCTAGATCAAGTGATTTACAACCAGTGATGGATATAGAAATCCTCTAATATAGATCAGCTGTATATGTGAGATTCCCAGAGACTCATCCACCTCATTAAAAGAGCAGAGTCACAGTGGACATACCTTGTACCGATTGACATGTTCGGCATGTGGAAAATGAAGAACTGCATCAAACTGGTGGACAAACCTCCTTCTGATTTCTTCCAGTGGGTACAGGTTCTTCGCTATAATCTTGCTGATAAAAGATTTGCCAGTGCCAGTCCAGCCATGAAAAGACATCACCAGGGGTTTTGCTGGCCATTTGACTTTGGCATTTGCACTCAATGCTTTCAGAACCACATGGGTGGCAAGGTGTTGCCCAAAGACTTCCCGTTTCAGACCCATTTTCAAAGCTGGGGAAGCAAGGGGGATTATTGTCAGTAAGCACATCTTTGTCCTTTCCTTCCTGTGCTAGTGCTGAATGATCAATGCGGAGGAAATTCACATTGACCATTCTCTCCCTGAATCAGGGCCTTGATGGCTACTCATAGAAATCAAGCTCATGCATAAGGTACATGGAATTCCCCACGGTAACTGCACTCTAGCTGCTGCCTCCTATGTGGGCTTGGGATGTGAACCTGTGATTTTTGTGGGGCCATTTTTGTTTCACTTCCTGAGTCATCTTAGGCTATCTTGTTGCCATCTAACTTACTTTGCAGATGTGGCAACGTGTACTTCCTTTTTTGCTTCTTCAGAGAGGTGCCATGACTGAAGTTTTAGTTGCAAAATATGAAATACTTCGCAATTGAGAGCCCAGACCACAGCACACGTACAATGTTGTACATGGAAATAAATAGAGATACAGTAGTTTTCAGTGGCTGAGGCTCTGTTTCTAGAGATGTGTAATTTCAGGCCAAATGACACAGGCAGCAAGAATACAATGAAGGGGAATTTCCAGGGAATGAGGCCATTTATTTGCAGAAAAATTACAAGAGCCAGCCATATATCAGCTAACTCAGTTTCAAATCATTTCAGTAATGCCAACAGACAAGCTAAGATCTGCTTCTCAACTTCCCCTTTCTCTAGGGAGAGTCCAGCAAAGCCACATGCCTTGCTTCAGAGAAATGAAACAGCACAATCTGAGAAAGGGAAGAGCTCGGAGGCCGGATGAGCCAGTGGGGAATACATGAGATAACAAGCCTGGAATTCTTGAGCAGTGATCTCAGCTCCAGCACCAAATATTATGCAGCTGCACTGTTGCAAGTGACCAGTTCAGATTTGAGGTGCTGCCGTGTTTGGGTGCCCAGCTGAAAGAAAGTACACGGTGATGAGCAACACACTCACAACCTTAAATTCACTCCTACTTTATAAGAGCTTCTGCCAGCATCAACCAGGTCACTGTTAGCAAGGCAAAGTCCCTTATGGAGAACTTGTCATGACATGAAGCACTTTTATGCTCTTCTTTGCCAGTGTGAGCCAGCAGAATGGAGGGAGGCATGTGGCTGCAGCAGCTGAGAGACAGATGCACCAATGTGACCCATTCTCTCATTAAGCTTTCAGTCCTTACTGTCCAGGGGCTCCATGTGTAGTCTGAGGGTATCTATAAGATTTGCTAAAGCCCTGAGGTAGAGACCATGTAGCTTTGCTTTTTTGGCACCAGAGCACTTTCTACAACTTGATGGAGCCCAGCTTTGGTGGCATGTGTGTTACAAGCTGAACCATATGCCCTCCCCCAGTGCCACTCTGGTTTCTTTCCTTGCCCAATCTGCTGCACTACTGTCTGTCCCTGCCCTGTGCTTTCTCCCCAATCTGCTGCTCTGCTTCCTGCTCCCTACACTGCCTGCCACTGTTTTCCCTGCTCCATCCCTGATCTGCCACATGCCACATGCAGAGGCTGCCCATGCTACTTGTGGGAGAATGAGGTTAAAGCTCATCTCAGGGACTAGTTTGAGACTGTGGAATGAGCTCCCTCAGAGACCTCCTCGCCACCTTCATTTCTTTTACCTTCCCTTTTCCAGTATAAACATACAGTAACGTGCATGTGTGTGTGGGGTGAGGGTGGATGGGTAGATGGGTGTGTGTGTGCATGGATAAAATAAAACAGATAAAAACCCACTCCCTTCCCTTTGCTTCTACCCTGGGAGAGGAGAGAGAGGAAATACGTGACTGGTGTCAGTCATTGCTTGATGAATCATGAGAAAGAGCTTATATACTACAGTAATGAGGGCAGCATCAGAAACTACAGCTCAAACAAGAGTACATCGTGAAACTAAACCAAACCGTCTCTGCCAGTTTTCAAGCCTGTGAGCAGTGATGCTGATCTCTCCCGTCAGAGGGTCAGTGGCCATGAAAAAGTACCCTGCTGCACCTCTCTTGTGCCCTGCCATCTCTGCACTCAGCAGAGCCCACCAACTCAGCCCACCTCATAGCTTGCCATTGCCGTTACCTGGGATATCCAGACTGTCCTTCACATTGCAACACTCCCAGAAGTGACACTTGAGCCAGGAGTCCTGGGAGAGGAGCTGCCACATGACAGCGGCCCCCCCTCCAATGGTAAGTGAGGTAGTGATGGGCTCCAGTGCTAACACCACTGTGGGCACCAGGGCAAAGAACCCAGCTGCATTCAGAAGCTTCATGGCAGGGGCTGAATCACGCTTGGCTCAGCTAGAGGTAAAAGCAAAACAGATAAAAAAACAAATGGGACTTCCGGGTATGTCTATGTGATTTCACAGTGTTGAAACCAGGGGGTGGCTTTCTGTTTCAGAACTGGTATGTCATTCATACTGTGCCAAGATCTGGGTTGTTGTCATGCTTTCATATCTGGGGATTGTGTGGATGTGGAGAGTATTTCTTTGGTCCACTCCTTTCTGCTTCTTTTCAGCCTCTAAATAAGATTCCAGCCTAATGCATTTGCTGCTGTGGCAGGGGTCCTCACCTCTGGGCAGAGCTAATCCTCAGCCCCCTCAGCTCAATTTCAGGAGGAGCTCAGTCCCCGATGATTTCTGCAGAAGTGGAGTGTGCTCAGCATCTCCTAGACCTTTCTCTAGCTGGCACAGAGAAGGCTGGAAGAGTGCTGCTCCTTTTTAAAGTCCTCTACAAAGCAGTTCCCTTGACTGCTCTGCCCAGGCAAGGTGTTTTAGGGATGCTGCAGAGCTCCACTCCCTAGGCGCCACATGGTTTGGGAGAATAGGGAAAGCAAAAGTAATATTCCAGCTCAATAGCAGGACATGGCTCTGGTTCAAACACAAGAAACAAATTAATCTCAGGGGAGAACATCTGAAACAATTTCCTCTGTAATATGTCAGTAAGGATGGGCAGCCATTGATTTGTCCGACATAACCAGGTTGGATTTTCTTCAAAATAAAATGGGGAAAAGCCTAGATATTTTTTTAATCCAAAAATTAAGGTGCCATGAAAAAAAAATGTTTTTGACTAAATCTTTTTTCAACGGGAGATCTTTCCATCAGAAGAATTGAGAGCAGCTTTATATACTAGTCATAACTTGAGTTCAAGATTCAGTGTTTCCGGTGCAACAGTAAGTGGTGTCACTATCAGCTACAGCAGACCCAAAGTGAGACCTCTTTCACTCTCCTGAGGTGAAGGTGGAGGGGGAAAGAGGATAGGCACTGAAGGGAGAGAAGATCAGTAGAAAAGAAGAGGAGAAGGGAGATAAGAGCAGCAGGAAGTGTGAGGAGACAGGGGAGTGTGTGAAAAGGGGTAGGGAAGCAGAATGAAGAAGAAATGCAAAAAGGAGACCAGAACCTAGTAGGAAGAGGTGATTGGAGCATGCCCATCATTACCTAGCCTGTTGCTAGGTGTGGTTAAACAAGAAAACAAGAGAGAGAGAGAGAGAGAGAGAGGGGCAGAATATCCCACGGGACGTTTTGAGATACTTGAATGAGCTTATGAGAATTTCAGGTTGAACTTTTTGTTACTGAATCTTCTGCTTGCAACTGATTTCTAGTTTTACTTTATTTCCACAATATGTTCTGTGCTGGACAGCATGGCAGTGTGTTGACTCATACTGTTTCTCGCTATACTGGGGAGAATACAGCAGAGCAGGATGGGGGAGCACTGAACTGGAGCTCAGGAGACATGGATTTTATTTCTGACTCTGCTATAGGCCTGTTATGGGAACTTGAGCAAGGTGTTTCTTCTCTCTCTGGCTCAGTGCCCTGCCTTTAAAATAAGGATAATGAGATAATGATGTTCTCTGTGAAGTGCTCTGAGACCCATGGATTAGCATCCATGGGGATGGAAATGAGAGGGGTATGAAGAAGGAGAGCAATATGAGTTGTTATTGCTATTGAAAAGAGAAGTTGCAGAGATTTTGGTACAAGTGTTTACAGCAACACAGAGAGGAGGTATACAGGTATGTGTGTCTGGTAAAAAAGTTATAGGTGGGCACATGACTGGCTGCAAGGGAAACAGAAACAAAATAACTTTTGATCATGAAAAGGATAATCAAAGCTCAGGGTTAAGTTTTTCTTTCTTGTGAGTCGGATCCAAAACCTATCAGAGACAATGGGAGGATTAGCCTGGATTTGAGCAGGCTTCAGATCAGACCTTGGGTACTTGTAATATTCTCTAATGAAGGATGGTGGATTGCCTGCACTGATCTCAACATTTGCAGTCCCTGTGTGCTTTGTACCTTGAATAAGTAGTGTATAACAGCCCTAGGGTCCCAAATTCCCTGGTCTAGCTATGCCTCCACCAACCTTTACTGCCTATTCCTTTGGCCAAGGGCACCTTTCAGCACCTGTGCTGGTGACTTTGATTTCGATTTTCTTTCAGCACCCCGGACAGCTCTCACTTCTTCTCACATCTGTGTTTCCAATTAACACTCTTGAAAGAAAAGTTCAGGATCTGGCCCTAATGAGGCATGGCTTTCCCCACAGCAAGGCATCCTTCCGCAACATGAAGCCCACAGGCAAACAGCTCAGGCAGCTGCAAGTTTCTTCTCTCCGTTCGTGTCCTTCACAGTTTAAAGGGGTGTCCACTCTTCCAAGGCATAGTGAACACCAAACATGCATGGTTGATAAAGACACCTCTCTTCCATTCCCACCTCCCTCAGCAATATACCTTTGTCTAGTTGCCCTAACAAAGGTACAGGGTAGTTACTTAAGATCCATCAACGCATGGCTTAGGTTGGTCTGATTCTCTATTACCATACACATTTGTGGAGTCAGTTATACCCATGCAAAGTGTGTGCAAAGGCTGCTAACTCAATAGCATTATACACTTGCATTATACTCTTGCTTTGCACTGGTGAACATGAATAAAGAGAGTGCTGAGCAATGAAGATGCCCACCTCTCTAAAGCATCTCCACAGCCTCCTCAGTGGAGTACAGTTTATGAAGCTGGAAATGTCATTACCACTATAATGGACATAGTACATAGAATTGGAATTTGACTGATATAATTCCACATGTGCTACTCAATTCCACTGGCTTAACAGAAGGAGGAGAGGATAAAATGCACTGCAGTTTAGAAGGCTGGATTGTGGCAGTGCTGGTCTTAAAGATATCTGGAGAGAAAGGGCAAGAGGCAAATTCATGTTATTTTTGTTATATTGCCATTTTATTCAAAATCCCCAAACAAGATGAGGTCTCTGTTGTGCTAAGCAGGTACAGATACCTAATCAGATATAGTTTCTGTCCAAAAAACTTACAAGTTACATTACTTTTTTTTTTACCCATCCTCTTATGATTATTTTTTTTATTTAAGCAGATTGGCTGCCAGATAAATAGAGATGGAGCAAAAGTTAGAGGAAGGAAATTAAATTCACAGTTTCTTGTCTATCAAGTTTTAGTCACATGCTGCTCAACTGCATCCTCACAGCTCCTCTCTAAGGCAGATAAGCATTGTTAGCTATAAGTTGAGGTTGAGGAAATAGAAGTCCTGGTTGCTGATTCTAGCAGTTATTGTTATACCAAAGAGCCTTCAGCAATGTTAAGATATGGAAGTGAAAAATTAGTATTGCTGCCACAAAAAGGAATTCCCCATCTAGAATAGTGCAATAGGTGAGAGGAGGAAATCCTTCTGTTCTTGCTTCTTTTCACACCTAAAGCCTCCTTCCCTGCTGCCTGGCTCCTGTGTTGTCATTTACCTGTGCAAAGTAGGTGATAAATGCTTCCAAACCAGGTTGGCCGCATTTTATACTCCCTTTGAACAGGGTAAGTCAGTGACCATGTTCACTACAAGGCAGTGGAGACTTAGACTCTCAGATGTCAAGCCCATCTCAGGTCTTGCCTCCACAGAAAAAAATTTAAAGTATATGTTAGTATACATGGGTGGATCTAGAATTTTTAAAAAGGGTTGCATACTGTTTGGTGCATTGTCCCACATAACACAATACATTTTTCTCTAGTTTAAAGGAAATGAGATGCTTTACGAATATGCTAGGGATGTATGGTTATATGCCCTACCTTCCCTTCCCTTTGAAGCTATCTCTCAGAAGGCTGACATTGAAGAAATCCAATGTTTCCTCAAATGTGCAAATGCAGCCTTTGGATGCCTGATGAAATGGGTATTAGAAGATCATGACACCAGATTCAAAACCAAGCTCATGGCATATCAAGCAATCATGCTACCCACCTTACCATGTGGAGCTAAGGCATGGACAATGTACAGGAGACACCTCAAGTAACTGGAGAAGTACTATCAACTCTGCCTGCAGGAGATCTTCTGAATCCAGTGGGAAGATAGATGCACCAACTTCAGCATTTTCTCACAAGCAAACTCCACGAGTATTGAGACAATGATCATCCAACATCAACTTCACTTGGCTGGCCATGTCATCCGGATGTCCAACTCAGAACTTCCAAAGCAAGCTTTATTCCCTCAGCTCAGTAAGGGTGTACACTCAAGAGAAGGGCAGAGAAAGTTCTTCAAGGGCATCCTCAAGGCCAGCTTAAAAAAATTGGAAGAACCACATCAATTAATGGGAGACTATCACCTAGGGCCACCCCAAGTGGAGGAACAATCTGTTGCAAGAATCTCAGTACTTTGAAACCTTATGATAACAACAGGAAATGGAAAAGTGGGAGCAGCAGAAACAGTGTTTCATGGACTGAATCAAGAATCTGGAACCACCCACCCCAATCAGAAACACATGCCCAAGTTGCAGCAGAGTCAGTTAATCCTGGATCGCCTCATCAGCCATCTTCAGGCCACAGATAAGGTAATCATGGACGACAGTCATCCTTGGCTGTGAAGGACTGCTGAAGATGGAGGGCTATATTATTCTGTTAAAAATAAAGGCAAAAGCAAATATAACTTTTGGAATATGCATTAGTTTGCTATAATATATATAAAAAACCAGGCAAAAAAAAATCAAAAGATTCTGTATCATTAGCACTATAGTAATTGGAGTTAAATGGACATCTCTTTCAGATTCATAAAACAAAATGTAACCTTCTTGAGCATCAGTGCTTTGCTGAAAGTTATTTCAACATCTGAATTAGCATTCATCTGAGTTAATGCTTTTAGCTAGAGTTAAAAATAGTCTGTAATATTGTTAGGAGCTACATTGTCAGGTGCAGCTTAGAGACAGCAGTATTGCAACAGAAAGGATAGCTTGATTAGTGGAATATCAAGACAATTAAAAAGGAGAGAGTATTGTTAATACGTGTAGAAGGAAGTATTTAGAAAGAATCCGGTAGATTATAGTAAGCCACAATGTCAGTTGAATCTCT